GAGGAAAGGATACTGCGGAGGGTTTGGGGTCCGTTGGCTTTCACGGTGACGGTCGCTCTAGCTGTGTTTTCTCTCGGGTAGGTCTGTAACAGTTGTGGTGAGATCCAGCTGTATAGTCAGGAGTTGGACACGAACGCATCTTGCTAAAGAATTGAGCCCTTAGTGGTTTATATTAGAAAAAAAGAGTTTGATTGAATGAAAATCCAGCAATTATTCACATAAATCTGAAAAAAACGCAGATTAACTTTCAACCATTGTGCTTTGTGTCCAACACGCACCCCACCAGACTTGGCGTCGAGCAGCCAGCACGGGGTGAAGGCATTGATCTGCAGAGGTCCCAGCGGGCACGACAGCTCTTCCCCTAAGCCCTTGGTTAAACACCGTTAATCCCGGCAGAAGAGTCCTCTTGAATTCCCAAGACTAAAGCAAAGTACAACCCCCGAAGAGCTCCCCACAGCTCCCCGCAGACGCCCCTTTGCTAGGAAGGCAGAGGAGGAGCAGGCACGCTGGCTTGCTCTTCTCTAGGTAAGGCGGAGCTGGCACTTGGGTTTCAGCTAAAACTCCTCCTGGGTAACCCTGAATATACAGCAACCCTTGTACAAGGACCGAACCGCTCCGAATGCAGCAGCCACCGTGGTTCCACACCTCACCCCAGCACGGCTCCGGCGCCCGTCCTGCGCACACAGCGAGGGCTGCGCTAGCCAAGCGGCTGCCTCGACACACAGGTTAAAGAAAAAAACCAAAAAGCTCCCTGCTCGGACAGACCCAGCTGCAGGCACCGGTGCCCGGTGGCAGACGGACAGACAGAGGGACGGACACACACCTCAGCCCTCGGGAGCTGGGCACCCTGCCCCCTCCCCGGCAGCGGCGCGGAGAAGGCGGCTCAGGCTGCACGGCGCTCTCGCCTCTGGGGATGGATCCCAAGGGATCTCTCTTTGGAAACTCCTCCCTTTCCTAGGCGCTACCCACTACTTTCAAAGCCTTCTGATGCCATTCCCAGCCTGGCTGGTGGGGACCCCAGCAGAGCCCCCCACCAGGTGGGTGTCCCCTCCCCTGGGACCGGAGCATCCTCTCAGCCTGGGAGACAAAGCACAAGCTGGTGGATCCCTGCAGAGGGACGTGGCAGACACACGCCCCTGAGGCTGGAGAGGATTTCAGTGTGGCTTTTAGGGGTGGCTGCACCACAGCCGGCCCTCGAAACAGCCGCGGGCAGAGGACGAGAGACACCTCGTGGGAAGTCAGCCGAATACTGGGGTCAGCTCCAGCCTCGCCTGCCCAACGTGCCCCAAGAGCCAAACCTGGGGGTTCAACATCATCAAGAACCTGCTTCACTCGCTGCACCCAGGGATCCTACTCACTCCACAACAGGAGCTCACCTCCGGGGAGGGGCCGGTTGGCAGCCATGGTCCCACATCTTAATTAGTCAAAATGTACTTAAACACACAGCACAGAGGGAGGAGACAGCACCGTGTCTGAAACCCCACGCGGTGTAAGGTGACAGGGTGAAGGGACGTCGGGTGGGACCCCAGCTCCTGCTCCACCGAGCAGCACCTCACAGCAGGACCACACACGGCAGGGAACGACCTCGGCTCCTGGCTCGTGGCTTCGAGGACACGGGGGACTGCGTAAAGAATGAGCTTTGCCAGGGAGAGGAGTGCTCCTGGCCCAGCCGGGCACCACGGCAGCCAGCCCGCCTCACCTGGCCCAGAGAGAATTGCTGGGGAAGTGCTTTAAAACCACTGCAAATAATTTTGTATTTAAAAATTACTCCATCTGTTGATGTTTATATACAAGAGTTGGTTCTTGTGCTATAAATGTTATGATTCATTGCTTCGTTTCTTTTCTTTTTTTCCTTTTTTTTTTGAAAAATACACTAAGAGACAAGAGCTGTTTTGCTATTTTCTAATGAAGACACTACTTACGCTTAAATATCCAGTATTTATCATAGTAACAAATTCAAACAGTAAAGTGCACCCATTTACAGAGAACAGATGGAAAACCATTAGTGCAAGAATCCTGTGAAAAATGTAACACGTGGTATCGTGAAAAAACCTGCACGCCGCAGTATTTCAGCTTTCCTTCAGCTTGGTGTTTGTGTGAAAATGTGAGCTGTCTTCTTTTTCCCTTAAAACATCTTCATAAGCCCAAAAGTCCTACGCAGAAGTGCTGTGAGGGGATGCTGGGGACGTTTCGGGAGGACAGTATTAGGAGCACAAGGCAGTGAACAGCGAAAGCAAAGCGTGGGAAGTTCTCCCGTCGCTCTCGGAACGTCCCGTGCGCAGAGAACCATGGAAGATGCAGAGGGGGCTGAACGGGGTCACCTTCCCTTCCAGGGAAGCAACTCAAGGTAGGAAGCAGCTCCATCAGAAAGCTGGAGGATGGGAGGTGCTGAGCCAAGCGACTGGTGCTTCTCCACACCCACGGGTACGTGTCCTAGCTACCAGCATGCTGGACGGGAGGAGAACTCCATTCTTCCTTACAGAGCAGAACATGCTGCTTCAAACAAAGAGTGGAAGCCAAAAAACCACCACAGCCCCTTTACAAGGAGAGAAATCACGCACGGAGCCGAGTGTCCCCGCGGCCGTGGGGAACCTGCCCTACCGAGAGCTCCCCCAGGTCCCTCCTGCTTTACAGAGCCCTGTAACAAAGCAAAGAGTCGGCACTGGGTTGCACCTTGAGGAAGAAAACACCGACCTCCATCCAAACACTGGCTCGGACAAAGACCAAACAGCCCAAAAGAGCTACACGACCCAATCCCACGGAGGAAGCACCCCTCAAACGCTCCCAACGTGTCTATAAGACACAAACCTCCACCACCCCAAGGTGTGCGCGTCCCACTTTGAGCAGATTAGGCAACGAAAGAGCAAAGAGATGTGCTGATTCACACAGAAAAACGAGGAAAACTAAAGCCTCTTTGCTTAAGGGTTGGGGACCAAGTCCTTAGCTGGTGTAAAGGGCTGTAGCTGCACCGACGCCGTGCAGGGATACGCTTGTTTACACCAGCAGAGGTTGGACCCCGTGATTTGGTTCAAGCAGTCCTGCAATCAGTTCCATAGCCCTTTGGGAACACCGAAGGGATCGCTCCTGCTTGGCACCGAGGGCCAACAGGAGTGAGGTTCAGCACGGGCAACAGGCACTATTTGCTTTAAGACAAACTCCAGCGTTATCGCTCTCCCCCCAGGTCACCCCACCCTTCACCCTCACCAACTCAAAAGGCAGATTACAAACCCATCAGAAATAAATGAAGCTGTAAAGAAAGTCCCTCCACCTTCCCCCCCCCACCGCCACAAAATTCAGGAGAATAACTGAAAAACGATTGAAAATCCTATAAAAAGGATTTTGGAAGCGTCCCCTGCTTTTCACGCTGTCTTGGTGGAATTGGATTGGATTGAAGAAAAAAAACCAACAAACAGAAAAAACAACCCAAACCAAAAAATATCCTGAAACAGATTGCATAAATAAATTATAAAACTCTCTTTTTTAACTACAGCTCCTTAAAAAAAGCAAAACATGGTCTCTACCTCTCTCAGGTAGGGAGCACGGCACTCACTTATCCGGGATTCTGGGAATGGATCCCAGAGGTGCCGTGGCCACAGCACCGGCTCTGCGGGCGGAGCGAGCGGGGCTGGGGCTGCTGAAGGGTCCCTCCTGCCTCAGGAACCACCGTCCCACCCATCCTCAGCATTAAAAACATTGAAAACTGCAATTTCCTTCCTTGAATTCCATTTCCTAACTCAGATTCCACCCCCCCTGCCTTGCAAGTACCCATCAAATGAAACCCCCGCGATCAAACCGCCCTGGTGTAAACGTGGTGTTGTGGGTGAGGTGCAGCTGTCTGCGAGTGGTGTGAAGAAGTTGTGATCTCAGTTCACACTCAAGAGGTTTCTGGCTGATTCCCTTGGCTGATTAAAACACTTACAAAGGGCCAACTTTAACCTACCAATGCTCGTCAGATGCCCCAGAACAAACCGGCGTCGGGGCAGCTGGCAGGGAGCTTGCGAAGCAGCAAAGCGCTGAGGGATTCCCACCCCTCCCAGCTGATGACACGATTAAAGAAGGAAGGAATCCAACTGGATTAAGCGGCTCTAAGCCAGATGAAGCAGGGTGCTTGTTGTGCATAGCTACCTGGTACCAAAACATATCGTGCCCTCGCTCGCTGCGGGGAGTTTGCTTGGGGGCAAAGAGCCAAACGACCCGGCTGGCACGGGGCCCTGCAGATGCAGCCTTGGGAAAGGCTCCTGGGATCCCTGCTCTGCTCCCGCTAGGAATTCCCATCAGAACTGAACAGGAGCTCATCGAGACAAAAGAAATCAATTTAAATCAAACGCGATCGTCTCTCGGAAAAAGAGCCGGAAAAACACCTCCCACTGCGTGGGGCTGTTTCGGGACCACCCCGCACCACGGGCTAAGACATCCTGGTTGGGAACTTGGCTGGAATTGGGCAAACGATACTGGCTTGGCTGATGGTGGCTTCAGGGTCGGCTGGGGAACGGAAGGGCTGGAGCACGTGCACGGCTGTCTGACCACCACACAAAGTACCGGAGCAACTTGGTCATGTAGCTACCAAAGAGAAATAAAAATAAGAATAATATGCATGGAAATCAAGCTTGGAAGTGTGTGCTGAAAACATGAGGGTCTTACTCCAACAAGCGTCTTTTACACATTAGACTCCACAAATGGTCTCTTTGGTTTGATTGGGGATGTCTGCCCTTGCCTGGAGTCCCTGGAGAGCTGCCTGTACAGGTTGTCCTGGTAGGCCTGCGCCACTGGCAGCGTCCTTGCCACCTTGACGTCGGGGTACGAGGAGGCTTGGGTGACTCTCTCCAGGAGGTCTCCCCGGGACCCATTGGCCAGCATCCCATGGGGGCTGTAATAGTCTTCCTCTAGCAAATGGCCATTCTGTGCATTGTTGGTTTTGTTATAAAAGGCAATGTTGCTGATCGAAGAAGGCGGGCTGAACGACTCCGGCTGAGGGAGGTTGCCGGGAGACGTCGGACTGATGACAGTGTCCACTGACGACACGGCCCAGGTCCGGTTCTGCTGATGGAGGTGGGGGTACTGCTGAGTCCGAGCGGTTTTATCTATGATTCCCATGAAGGGCGTGGTCCGGGAACGGGCGGGCTCGCTGGGGTAACCCCCCTGCGTGGGCGAGACCGGCGAGAGCTCGTCGCAGGCCCTGTCGTAGGCTGGCTTGAGGGGGATCTCCATCTGCTGAATCGAGGCGGACGGGCGGAAGTTGGGGGTCAGGTTGGAGGTGGAGGAGATGCTATTGCTGGAAGGGGAGAAGCGGAGGCCGACGCTCTGAGAGTGCAGCAGGGGCCTCGGAGTCGGCGGGTGAGGCTTGATCTCGCTGGGATTGACCGTGATGGGCCTTCTTATGAGGTGAGACACATCTGGAGAGCCCAGCTGGCTGGCGGGGAGGGGAGAGCGCTCCAGGTCAAGCTTCGAGTGACACACCGGGTAGTAGGAAGCGGACTGGCTCCGCCCGATCTGAGGGGTCTGGCTGTACCTCATCCCCCCCCTGTACGCCGAGGACGGTCTCTGCGGAAGGTCTTCTTTAGCCAGCCCCCCGTGCTGGCAGATGGCCCCCGCGCTGAGGCTCGCCTGAACGTGCTGCACCGGCCTGCTGTCGCCCACGATGCCCCCGATGGAACCCTGGTAGACCAGCCTGCTCTGGCCGACCCCCATCTCTCCCGACGCCGACTGGTACTTGCTGGCCATCGAGTGGGCGACCTGGCTGTACGCGCCCGTTGGGATGACGGTGCTCGAGTGCACGGCCGAGCTGGGCTGGTGGCGCCTCACGATCTGCGCCTTGGCTGGCTGCAGCCTCAGGCCCTGCTGGGGCACGGCCACGGGGAGCTGGGGCATCTGGAAGGACCTCTGCGTCATCTTGGACAACGGAGACTTTGGTCTGCCAGGCAGCTGGCCGACTCCGCTGGGCTCCTGCTGGTAACGAACCGGGGAACCGGACTGCGAGCGGTACACGCTCATGCTTTCTGCTGGGGGGCTGGCACGGTACTGAGGACCCCTGCGAAGAGGAGAAGGCGGTGGGCTTTGATACTCCTTCCCTTGACCTCCCACGGGAGGAGGGCTGAAGCGGTAAGAGGAGCCCTGGTGAGCAGGGGATGTGTGCGGAGGACTGGGTCTATAATGGGAGTTCTGGTGCGTCGGAGACAGAGCAGGAGACGTGGACTGGTACCCTTGCCTGGTTGGTGAACCCACAGAGCTATTGGACCTGAAGTCAAAGACCTGATGAGAGCCAAGAGGTGAGCCAGAAATATAGGCTGAGTCCCTGTGAGCTGGGGACGGGGGTGGGCTCTGGATGATGGGCAGCCCTTGGTTTGGCCTGGACTCTGTCTGCAAGCCAATGGAAACATTTTCTACATCCTGCTCAAGGTATTCCTCCTCAAAGATATCTTGCACAGAATACAGCTCCTCGTGCTGGGCTTCAGGCTCAGGCTCCACCGGGAGCGG